AAAAAAAAACTATTAATATTTCAATAAACCTGGCCCATATTTAGGGCTCTATAGAAAAAAATGAAGACCACGACACCCATGAAATCAAGGTCAAACTAAAGCTTAACCAAGGTAGGCATGATAAACCAGTAGAAGGATCAGAGAGAATGCATATTTAATTTCTCAACATACATTATCAAGTGGCCCAAAGTTGCAGAGTGTCTCGTTAGAGAAAACAAGTATTGGGGGATAGGTTGCAGGTCTTCGCAGTCTGTGGTTGGCTTTCAAAGGAAGACAACTAACCAGTAACTAGCCGTTCCAATCTCCCCTTTCTTTGCATGCATTGCCTCGTAAGGCGATTACGTCTTATTGTGAACATATAGGCTGGTAAAAAAATACTGGCCTGATAAAGAGTAGGGTTGCAGCAAGTGTTAGGATTTCAAATACGCGAAGACGATGCACCTGACACGGCCATATACCCAACTCGCCACCTCGCGCGGCGGAAAAATTAGCTGCTACTGTTTGAAGTGGTTGTTTTCATTACGCTTTAATAAGGGTACTTTTTATCATGCATAACAATTTTTTACCGAATTATTTAACAGGAGATTGAATCTTCTGAAGATCTCTGCCCAACAAAAATGTGGGTTAGCGGGGCAAATTCCTTATTATGTATTGTCTCTGACGGTGGCTTTAAGAGTAAATCCGACCTTTCAGGGAAAAAAATTCACCTTTATCGGCGCCGTTTTCTTATCTTCATTTCTTCTAGCAGATTACACTCTAAATCTGATGTTTTTGTCTAATATATGGAAGCTTTAAATGGATCCAACAAAGCAAACGGAGACTGGAATGTCCAGTTCTGGCTTGTTAGCCGCCATCAGCCAGATACACACAATCTCAAGTTTAAGAACGCCAAATGTTCGAAACCCCGGACCTTTGGTCATTGAGATTAACACTCTACCTCGGCACCACGGGCTCGTTGCTTTGTCCATTTCATCATATCTTCATAGTCACTATGTGGCTGCCTACGCGGGCTCTAACTGTGAGCTCCTAAACGAGGCGAAACTTAATCATTCGGCGAAGCCCATATATTCATACAGAAGCTTAAATAAATTGGTGCGTTTTTATTTTCCGTGTCACTGTATCGGGCTGCTGATGAATGACTTAGAATAGTTGTTTGCCAACATGACTCCTATAATTTGTTTGTTAATGCTCGCGAGTCAGTGTTTAATTAGGCTGCCTAGAGTGAATTTTGATTAGAATTCGTCTGTTTGTATTTCATCAAATTGGTCTTCTATGGGAAGATTTAATAGCTAAATTCTCAATTATATGAAGAGTAGAAACTAATTTTTGTTAACGATACGTTTCAGCAGTAGCAAAGTTGCAAAAATGACACTATAAATTACATTACCGTGGCTATGCTCTAGGTGATTTCTGGGGCCCAAAACCTATACTACCTCTGGACAAAAGTATGATCAGTTGCTTTCTTATAAATGCTCCAAATCGATATTATTACGTAAAAAAACGTACGTGGGGCAGAAGTATGTATTCATTAGATCGAATGCGTCATCTCGCCCATACTTTAGTGCAGTGAGCACCCAGACAAGTAGCGCCCGCTGCCTCATTCGAGTAGCTTCTGATACTGAGTCAAAGTTATTCAATCTCCTCTGGTCATGGTCATTTTGTGTCATGTACTCCAAAGATTTTAGAGGGAGGGGCCATTTGTGGAAATTGCTATGGCGTTAGTTTGTAAATAAGACTATTCGAAGACGCCTATTATCAATGAACCTACGCAATGTCGACGCATCAGATATGTTCAGTATGCATTCAGGCCGTCAGAGCATGAATTTCAGAACGCAGTTTCTGCTCCTTCGTCTCACAGCCGAAATAGTGTTACTGCTGCGAAAGGTTTACTGGAAAAGGGGACAAAAGTATTAACTTCTGGATTGGCGGTGCATTTTTCTGTCAAGAGCTTGGTATCTGATCACGAAGGAAGATCGTGCTGATTCAATCATCTAACCATTCAGGCCGACAGTCATCACAGGCGCAGGATGCCGAGTGCTTAACAAAGGTAACTGGCCGCTTTTAAGGTACAAGTAACAAAAAGGGCACAACAGGTGGATTAAAAACCTTCAAAAAACTAACTTTCGCGAGCCTTTTTCAGTAACCAGTGAATATACGAATGCTCTTCGGGCACTGGGGCGTTTGGGCGTTTTTAATAATTGAAACGAATGGAAAGACATTCCATTAAAAAAAAACTTCTCAAGGCGATTTACTTTTCAGATGCCCTTCCGATCTTAACTGCTCAAATTTCACTTTGGTTGCTTCAACGTAGGATGGAATAGGGGAAAAGAAGGTTTGTACTGCAAAGGACCACCTACGATCTATGAAAACATTAACATCACATGCTGTTGAGTACCTCGATAGTGGTAAAGTTTTGATAAACACTCAGAAGCGCCTTTATGATTAGATCCCCTAGCTAATTAAATATACTCAGTACTACAGCATTTCGGAGAGAGCCTTTCTTTTATTGGCGATCCCACTTATCATGTGACACAATCATCAATAATTATCGACTCTAACACGGCACGTAACATGACATATAAAGTAAAACTCTTCAAAATGGGCAGATCACTGCAACCGCCTAGGGGGCGTATTCATTGGCTAGTGACTGTTGCGGATAAAAAGCTCCCCATAAGGAGGCATGCCTCTGTACAACTTACGGCTTCGTCCACGGAGTGCATGTCCACACTCGGACTGTTGTAGTTAGGCGTAGAGGGTTTGACCTTCTGTTGCGGTTTGGGCAGACCACGACGCTCGGCAGCCAATTCGGCATCGATCTGCTTCTCAAGGTGGATTATCTTCGGCACCTCCATCCCGAATTTGCTGCCAAGGCGAGCCACCTCCAACAGGCAGATAATCACGCTGCGCAGATGCCTTTTCGACACCAAGTCCTCCGTCTCGAAGAGGATGCTGTCGGGAAATCCTACTGAGCGACACCATTTAAGGAAGCTTGCTATATTTTCACGCACCCAGAAAGGAACACCCCCGCGGTATCGTGGTCTAACTCCCCGTGATTGATATTTGGGGGGTTCATTGGGAAGGAAAGCATTAACACTGGCCACACGGACACCCTGCAGTCGCTGTCCGCCACGTAGCTTAGAGCCTGAGCCAGTGTCAATCATGCGCTGGTGTAGCTGGTTAGCGTACTGGCACAAAATTATACCGT